CAGAAAGTGTCGCAAGTACAGACTTGTGCACTGCAAATTCTATTGCCTCTCTCTGGGAGTGGGGTTTATTTTTATCGCCCCCCCCCCCTCCTCCTCGACACAGCCAACACGAGGCAAATGGAACCAAAAAGCAGGATTCACAGCAGCAGCAGAATCAACAACAACAACATGCCTGGCCTGCACTCGCAAACGCCGTGTTCCATCATCATCAGCATCAGCCTTTGTGAAAGGCAGGGTTTTAAGTAGCCCCCCCCTACTTCTTTGTTTTAGGGACCAGCTGTGGTACGCCTGTGATGGAGTCACTCTGCGGTACTGTCGAAGTGTCCCGCGGTGCCGATTTGACCCAAGGACGACAAAAAGCTTCACCCGGAATGCGCCCAATCTCCTCGCATCTCAGAAGCAATGGGTGCCTTGCGTGCGGCGGTACAGTGGTTGCTGGAATGTAGTGGCCCCCGCAAGGCTGTGACAAGGTGCTATAGGCTGCAGGGAAACGTGGTGGGCAGCAGGGGGCAGCGCAACGAACATTCATTGTTGGACTGTACGATGATGCCCCCCCCCCCACCCCCCGCACACACACCCTCCACCACGTAAATGCTCTTCCCCGCTTTCACACAACCCGCACTGACCGGCGTGGTGAAGTATGGTAAACAAAAAAAATCCCCACCACGTGCATGGCATTAAGCAAGCCCTCATCCAGCAGTGGAGTGACTGTGCAACGTGGTGACATTGAGCTACGCGTATTTTGATTGGCTCTCACTGAACGTGCGGCCCCTTATTACGTCTACGGCCAACTTTCTCCAAATCGACCCGAACTTGTCAGATTTCAGGAGCTTCGCAAGGTGTGTGAGCTGGCCAGCTTTCGAGATGCGTGCCCTCCAGCTCTTGCCAGGTGCTGTAGGGTGTGTGGGTGTGAAGCGGCCAGGAGGATGGCAGCGCTGAGTCTCATGTGCATGGGAGGCTCGGTCCGGGCACCGAGGTTTCCTACCGACGTCTATTTTTACTTGGTGGACTTATTTCGCACCGTGCATAGCCCACCGTGCTACCATGGTGAAGCCAATCACTCGTTCATGAATTTGACCAAACCGCTCAATGCAGGACTCTCCTTCAAATCAGTCGTGAGACTCAGTGAGGCATTTACGTGTATATTAATTGGAACTACAATCGTTTTCAGACTTGGCATGACTGCCACACACCGATACATACTACGTGGGAGAAAGCGAGGAATGTAAGTAGTGTCCTACAATTACAATTCCTTATAGAGGAAACACATACTAATTAACTCATTACTAATCTATTATATAATTACAATACCCGCCCCTCCTCCTCTGCCTCTGATCTCTGCACCTGATGGGTTCAGTAACATGACCTCGTGCTGCTACTCTATTGAAGACTGGAAGCAGGTGGATGGCTTCACTATTCTGGCAAATCGCCCGATGATGCTGCTGGATATAATTACCAGCGAAACGTCGTACTACTCAAATTGCAAATATTGTGGATTTACTCTCCAACACACCGGTGGGCTGAAGTAGTTAATAATTGGCGTTTTGTTTACGTGACAAATCCCTTACTAATTTTCTGTCGGGTGGTGGAGGGTTACAACTCATTTAAACTTACGCAATCTAAACCCAATACACTTTAAACCCAAAACACTTTAAATTTTGATTTAAAGCTTTTGTGACTGCAGGGATTCATATTATTGGTTCTTTCGGTAATGTCACGTAGAAGGGAAACAATAAAATAATACTAATATAAAACAATACAATTATCACGACGTTTCGACTGCAACACAAACAATCATCATCAGGTGTGAAAACCACAGCAAGAAAATTTTGAAAAAAAGTGGCGGTTTTTTTAACGTTAGCACCCCTAAAGTGGCGGTTTTTTTACGTTATGAATGTATGTGGAATTTCATTGGCACCGTACATAGCCAATCGGAGGTGCGGGCGAGAGACGACAAACTAAACACAGAAAAGCCCGTTAAAGACACATTTAAAGCCATCAGCTCTAACAATCTAATATAAGCATCGCTCAACGTTGCTTGTTAAACACTGCATTAATCCCTACTCTATTGCCTGGCGTGCTGCGCGGTTCTTAAATAAAGGCCCCTCGGCCATCACCACCACGTTCGCCCACGGCACTGAGCTTGGCTCGGTTCCTCGGACACCGTCATTAACGTCCGCGAAATATTAAGTGCGTTACAACTTGCATTCCAGCGCTGTTCTTAAACTTTCGCGACCGAAATTCCAGCGAGTTAGTCGACGTCCGTTGAGCTGCAGCACGATGGAGCAGCGTAACAGGGGGGCACACCAATCCCGACGAGTCGTCAAGTAAATGTCGAAGCTGCCTCTAACCGAATTGCCAAGAATGTGCCCGGATCTTTAAAAGCTGAGCAAAGTTAAGCCTGGATGGTGCATCGATGGGTGACAACGGTGAAAAGAACATGGTTTGTGAGCTGCTGCAGGGCAATGTTATCAGCAGGGAACAGCACAGCAAACTCAATTATTATCCTGTACTGTGCCCCAAAGTATTTGCTTTCCTCACCTTTACCAACCCTCACTGACCAATGTGGTGAAGTAGGGTCAAACATTCCCCGCACGGCGTCGGGAGGCCTTCATCCAGCAGTGGATTGACGTAGGGCCCTCTTACAAATGCAGGTGCGCATTCAAAGTGTGTAAGTAGTGGATTCGCGTGAAATCCTGCAGCCACTAGAGGCGTCGTCATTCGCTGCAGTGTTGAAATAGAATCTATTCTTGAGTTGAATCGCGGACGCTGAATCGCAACAATGCGATTGATTGCCTCGGGAGTATGGGGGGGGGGGGGGGTTAATAGTTACACCCCTCCTGGGTTTGTGAGCAACGTAAATGCCACGTTTGTGTGGACTCCAAAACAAACGGAACCATGAGACCTTATAATAATAATAATTTTCTAAAGCCAACTTCCACACAGATGACCCAAAAAAAAACCGCTTGTCATACCATATTTGGACGAAAAGCTCAAATATTTGTTTTACACACGAATTGGCCACGTCACGAAAAATGTAAATAAAACGTCTGGAATGGTACACCGTGCAGAATAAGCCACTTTTACCCCCCACCCCCCCCCCCCCCCAAAAAAAAAAACAGTGTCTGTCATTTGTTGCTGGGAAGTAGTTTGCCTATCAGCACCTCAATGAACGAAACCAGCACATATAATTAATTATATAAAACAGAACGCACAGCCCTGTGTCAATCCATTGCTGGATAAGGGTATCCCCATGCTGTGTCGGTCATGGCGATTATTTGACCATACCTCACCACGCTGGTCAAGTGTGAGTTGGTGAATGGGGAAACCTCAAGGCCGGTTCAAATATCACTCACCGCCTATGACAGCTGTGGCGATGAAATCTTAATTCAGGTCGTACGCATCACACACCTGTACAGTTCCACCCCCCCCCCCCCCCTTCGCTAGTCGGAGGGTGTGATTCCTTGTGCAAGCAGGTGTATTATTGTGCTTTAAAACTCTTGATTCTCACAGGGTAAGGTGGTTTAACATTCTAAGCGTGCCTCAAATGTCTGGATTTGAAGGACGTTCACCTATATATTTTTGGTTGTTTTGAACAAGAGCTCATGCGAGCCCCTGCAGCTGTGCTGTGCTCCGTCCAGGATTTGGTGCCCCCACCGCCGCTTGGCAGAAACGAAAATTGGTGGAGTCAGTCGATGAGCAAATGGTGCCGGGGGTGGGAATTAGTGCCAGTGTAATGGGCGTGCCACCTTATATTAAACGCAAGCGTTTATGAATACCCTCTCCCCCCCCCAAAAAAAAGTCTCACGTTTCTCGATGTGCACGAGCCAGTGGCTTCTGATATTAAAAAAAAAAGTTTCAGGGAAGTGCCATCACCCCCCTCCCCGCGCGCCCCCGCCGCCGTGTGACCTCCGCGTGACCTTTCCTTCACAAAAGGGTTGTCGCCGTGCCCAGATATGCAGCTCGCAAAGCGTAGGACTGCGACACAGAGGCAAATGAGCTAAATTGCCGTGATAGGCAACGCTTCGATGGGTTGGTATTTTGGCGCGACGTATCAATTGGCCAAATAAATTGACCCGTCTTTTGTTTTGTGTCACGTGAATTTTCCTCGGCTTCGTGTTTGTATGAGTAATACTTTTGAACACGTGCCCCGACTTTCCCACTTTCCTTTCTCTGCTATAGCTCCCCCCAACACTCATACTTTCTCCTCAGCCTCCCCACACCCCCCTGCTCTCATTATCTCCACCCCCCTCTCTTCTCACTATCCAATTTGCCTCTCCCTTTGGCCCCTCTACCCACTTCCCCTCATCTCCCAATCCTCCTCTCACTAGCCACTCCACACACAGCCTCTCTCTCATCACCTCCTAACGAAAGCCTCACCTCATTTCCTCCCCCCCACCCCCATGGATTGCCTAGTCTGGGACAAAATATAGAGGTACCGTAGGTTTCTTGAATCTCTCATTATCACAACGATGTGCACTCTTGGGTCTCCACATCCTGCCCACCTAAAAAGCCCCCAGCCCTAAGTAGCCATCACAGTTCACCACCCGCCCACCCACCCTCACGGACCACGTGGTGCTGCTTGGCCATGCCTGGCGCACGCGTTTTGTCACCGCCGCTGCTCAATATGGCCAACTCATGGGTTCGTTTCATGACATTCACTCGCTTACGTTCCCTCATTACATTTCTGCTTGTGTTTTATGTTGTTGTTTTTTTATCCCAGGTCGTTGTGTTCATGCTGATATATTTATACGCAGTATAATGTTCGTGTTATTTTTTTGTTATCGACATTGTGGTTACTCCCAACTCTTCCAAGACATCTGGCCAGTGTGGAAGAGTAGGCCAAATACCCTCGATAAGGGTTGTCTAGATCTCACACTGCTGGAAGCCCTTCTGCCGGCAATTGGAGGGCAACACCGCGACCTTTAAGTTTTAAAAAAGTCATAATTATTCAGACATTGTCTGAACGATTCTAACGCGGACGAGCATGTAGCACGCACCTTGTGTGAACTTGGACACGCTGTCATTTCCCAGGCCCAGGTTGATGATGAAGCCGTGCTCCGGCAGCTCCTCCACCACGTACTTGAGCACCCGCGGAGAGCTGTCCCGGTCCTCCGCCTTCAGGGCCTTGTTGGTCAGCATGAAGCCCAGGTGGCCGCTGGGCAGCGGGCGCAAGCTGGACGCCCCCCTGTTCACCACGATCTGCGGCACACCGTTGTCGACGGACAGGATGCGGATGTGCATCATCTGCGGCTTGCGCGTCTCAAAGACGGTGTCGGGGAAGACGTAGAAGTCGGTGTGCGTGCCGTCGGTGACCGTGAACGAGAAGCTGTCCTCGCTTGTCTCGGTGCCGTCGTGCTTGTAGCTGATGAGGTTCTCGTTCAGGTCCTGCTTGGTGAAGGACGTCACCGGGCGGCTGCCGTTGTACAGCAGCTGTCCGTGCACGGGCACCTGCGTGACGGTGAAGCGCAGCCGGTGGTCCGGCGTGTCGCGGTCCTCCACCGTGAGCTCGAAGGGGGTGATGAGCTTCGGCTCGCCCTCGTTCAGGTGCAGGTCGTGGACGGTGAGCACGGGCTTCTTGTTGTCCACGTCGCTGATGGAGATGCGGAACGTGCGGAAGACCGGGTTGTAGCCATCCGTCACCTCGAACTCGAAGCTGTCCATCTTGATCTCGTCGTCCGACGTGTGTATGTAGTAGATCTTATTGCCGGCCAGCTGCAGCTGGGTGAAGGAGGTGATCGGGACCCCTGGGTTGTCTGTGCACTCCATGTGGCCGCGAATGGGGGCGCGCGTGATGCTGAAGCGCAGGTTCTCATCTGGGCTGTTGATGTCAGTCGTGCTCAGCAGGTTGGTGGTAAGGGTCACCTTACCGCCTTCTTTGAGGGACACGCCTTTGTTGATGATGTCCGGGAAAATCATATCGATGCTTCCGATGGACACGTAGAAGTACCGGTCGATCAGTGGATTGATGCCATCGGTTACGTCGAACTTAATGAGGTCCCGTATCCCCTCCTGGCCGGTGTGCTCGTACTGGATCAGTCCTCTGTCGATTTCATCCTGGGTGAAATTCATTCCCAGGGTTATGTTTTCAGAAACTCCCCCTTCGACGCTCAGCCTCTGCAGCAGTCCCTGACCGGGACCAAAGCGGATAATGTAAGTAAGGGTCTTGTCTTCCGAATCTAAATCAGTAGCTTTCAGCATCTTGTTGGTGATCACTTTCGTTTCGCCAATTTCTATTTCCAGTCCATCGTTGATGGCCATGCGTGGAGTCTCATCGTCCACTTGGATGACCATGATCAGCACGGTCTTCTCCACGCTGTGCTTCCCATCTGACAGCCTCACAGTGAAGTTGTCGTGCTTCGTTTCTGAGTCGTCGTGCTCGTACACGATGCTGGAGGTGCCCGAGATCTCCTCCAGGGTGAAATTCCGTACCGGCGCAGTGCCCGTGGCTCTCTGCTGGACTATCTGTCCGTGCTTTGGCAGCTTGGAGATGTAAAAGTGCAGCTCGTCTTGCGGAATATCTGAATCTGCAGCGTTGAGGATCGGCGTGTCCACAATCAGGCTCATCCCTTCCATGACAATGAACTCCCGCATGAAGAGTTCTGGCTTTTCATCGTTTGCGGGAATAATCGTTATTGGGAAAAAATGGCGGGGCGAGAAATTGATGCCATCTGAGCAGCGGAAAGTAAATCGATCTTCCAGTGGCTCAACCCCCTTGTGAATGCTCTGGACATAATTGATGTGCTTGAGGCGGACATCCTTCATGGTGAACGCGCTGATGGGGGTACCAGCACGGGATTTCTCCGATCCAGGTGCAGGTGAGATGTTCTCAACGTAACCCGACGTAGGCTGCACTATGATTGTGCAGAGGATGTCATCGGTCGGCGTGTCGACGTCTTCCACCTTGATGTTCTTGAGCGTTATGAAGTTTTTCTCCGCCTCAATAACGCTGTAGGGTTGCCCAATGGTCACGGATGGGGCAACACTGTCCACTGGCAAAATTGTGACGCGTACCCTAACGCCTTGAATCTTGTTTCCTCCGATGACCCACTCGTCGGACATGTCGGAAATGGTGAGGTTGAAAGCGTCGTGTTGTTTCTGAGTTCCAATTTCTCCACTCGTGTGAGCGTAGACGACCACGCCATTGATCATGTCCTGCTGGGTAAACCTTTCCGAAGGCGCGCCGTTGACCAGAATCGAACCAAGCTTTGGAAGTTCCTCAACGATAAAGGTTAACATGAGGTCGTCCGTGTCCCGATCCGTGCCCTTGATTAGGTTTGTCGTTATTTCCGTGGCTCCGTTTTCCAGGACGTCCAGTGACGAGCGCAGGGTGTCTTCTTGGATCACGATCGTGGGGGCTTCGTCATCGATCGGCTTCACGGTGACCTTGATGATGATTGTGACCACGTGCACACCGTCAGCTACGTCCAGTTTGAAGGTGTCACTGGTTGACTCGTCGCCATTGTGAATGTACGCAACTCGTCCATTTGAGATATCATCCAGAATGAAGGATTCGTCAACTGCCATCGCAATGCCAAAGTACTGCAGTTGGCCGTACTTAGGCTCCTGCGTGAGGGTGAATGTTATCTCATGGACTTGCGTATCGGTGTCGGTCGCGTCGAGTTCTGCGTTGGTAATGACAAACGTGCCGCGCTCGAACACCGTGAACCCTGTGTTGGTGATCTTGGGGGGCTTATTATCCACGGGTTGCAAGAAGATCGTGAATGTCCCTCCGACAGAGTTTCCGGCGGTGTCCTCAACCGTGTACGTGAACTGCACAACGTGCGGCGTGATGCCGAGCTCCTGGTCCGGTGGCTTGTAAGCGATTTTGTGATGGTTCACTTGCGCCTGCGTAAACTCTGACACAACGACGTCAGGATTTTCCGTCAGAACGATGGAGCCGATGTTGACTGGGTTGTTCTCGTCTGTGTCCACAGGCGGCTTCGTAATGGTGTACTTCAGATCGCGGTCATCCGAGTCTAAGTCCGTGTAACGCAAAAACTTTCGCTTGAAGTGCGTAATTTCAAATTCCTGCACGGTCATCTGCAATGTGGTTCCGGGGTAAAGCGAAGGAGGTATGTCGTCGATCGGCTGGACTTTTATTAAAAAAGTGTGTTCGCCTGACTGGTTGGGAGGATCGTTGTCATCCTGCACTCTGAAGATAAACTGGTCCATCACTACCGAGGTGCTGTGAGGACCTACGTGGCGATAAAACAGCTTTCCTTCCAGAATGTCCTCCTGCAGCCACTCGGTCACTACCTTCTCATATAAGTTTTCGCTCTCTATGAATTTCCATGATGACGACTCTTCGGGCTTCTCCGATTGCCGAAGCAGGACCTGACCGATAGAGGAAAACGGCGCCTCTATGGTGAACCTGATGGTCGAGTCCTCCGAGTCAATGTCAATGGCGCTGAGAACGAAGGGAGGGATTTGCATGATTTCATTTTTGGAAATGACCAGCCCGGTGTTGGCATTGACGACGGGCGGTTCGTCGTCGGTCGGCGCGACGGTGATGGGGAAGAGAAACTCCACCTCGTGCTTGCCGTCCGTCATGCGGAAGATGATGTTGTCGCTGTACGTGTCGCTGCCATCGTGTTGATAAACCACCACGCCGGCGTCGAGGTCGGCCGGTGTGAAGAATTTACGGCGGGCGCCCAGCACCGTCAGCTCCCCGTGCCGGAGCCCGTCGATGACGGTGACGCGCACATTCTCCAAATTGTCCTCGTCGCTGATTTCTAGGTTCTGCGCGCTGGAGAGGGGCCTCGATTGGCCTTCGAAGAGCATCTGCCCGGTGTTCCGAGTAACCACCGGGGCAAGCGTGTTCATGGGTTTCACAACGATCATGAATGCAAACGGGTCCGACGGAACGCCCTCGCTGTCGATCACTTCAAACTCTATCTGGAATATGCGCTCCACGTTTGAGTCAACAGCCGGGGGCTTGTAAGCAATTTTCAAATCTTTAATGTCGCGCTGATAAAAGGACGTTATGGGAAGGTTTCTGTCGTCTGTACTCACGATGTAACCTTGCTGGTAGCCCAGAGGAGAGGTGATGTTGAAGATGAGGTCGTCGGGGTCAGTCTCCACGTCCTCGGCAGCCAACATCTCGGGCGTGATGGCGGTCATGACGAACTGGTCCACCTCCATCATCATCAGCGCGATGAAGCTCGGCTTGGGCGGCGTGTTCTCCAGACCTTCGCGGATGCGCACCATGATCTGAAAGTACTCTTGCTTCAGGAGGTTCCCGTCCTTGTCGGAGAGCTCCACCACCATGGGGATGTAGTCGCGGTTGGGCGATGCCGTCGCGGCAGTGTGCTGGTAGCGAATGTTGGCTGTGATGAAGTCCTGGCAGGTGAGCATCTGCCCGTTGGCGATGTGGTCCGCGTTGGCGAGCCTCCCGTACCGGGGCATCCCCCCGGCGCCAGCCAGGCTCGTCAGCTTGCACACCTCGTTGGCGCGGTCGTACGTGAACTCGAGGATCTTCTTGTCGATGGGGCCGCTCGTGCCCATGAGCTTCTCCACGCTGAGGGGCATGTTGCGCGTGATCACCTCGAGCTGTGTAAACACCACCTCGACCTCGATCATGAAGGGGATGACGATGGTGTCCGTCTGCGTGTCGTACCTCAGCTGCAGGCGCACGCGGTCCTTGGCCGGACTGCGCGAGCCGAAGTGGGAGTACTTGACGTCGTTGGGGCCGAAATCGCAGCTGAACTTCTTGGGGCTGAGCACGCCGGGCCGTTGAGAGAGGGGGTCGTTGTCCAGGACAGTGATCGAGCAGCGGTCTCCCGGCTGCACCTGCACCACCAGGTCATTGATGGGGTCCAGGTGGACGGCCCGTCCGAAGGGAACGCGGACGCCGTTGTTGGCCACGATGATGCTGTCATGGCTAGGGCCGAGGCGCAATCCGAAGTAAGAAGCGGGGTCGTGTAAGTTCTGCTGCTGATGGTGCTGATGGTGCTGTTGCTGATGGTGGAGGTGGTGGTGGTGGTGGTGGTGTTGCTGCTGCGCGAGTCCAACGCCGCTCAGAGTCCACATGGTGAGCAGACATGGCACCAGCAGCAGCAGCAGCAGCAGGTGCTGCCTCTGCGCTGGCATAGCCCAACTCGAGTCGGTCAGGGTTCTTTGCGACGCCGGCTCCTCGTGGGACTCTGCCGTTCAGCCGCGGCGCAGCACGCAGTAGCCGGCTCGCCCCACGCTGTGTGTCACGAACGGTGCCGGCAGGGCGAGCGGGGCAAGGGGGTAGGCTGCCCTCTCTCTCTCTCTGTGTGTCTGTCTCCACGTCTCTTCCCCCCAAGCCGTTTGAGCGACGTGCCAGTGTTTGGGGTTTGAAAGCAATAGAAGGGTGAAAAAAAATTGGTAACGAGAATGAAAGTTGCGTTGTGAGCGGTTAGGCACACAACACCAACGCCACCACCACCACCACAGAGAGAGAGAGAGAGACACACACACGCACACACCGGCACACGCTTTGGCTTTAATGTAACTGAACTGCCGAGGAGGGGGAGAGTCGGGAGAGCAAAGAGTAGGGTGGGGAACACATACGGGTCAGGTGAGAGACAGAGCAAGGGGTGGGTAGGGGGGTGTACTTGCTAAACTGTGACTTCTAGCGAGGGTGTTTGTGCATATGCATGAGTGGTGGTGGTGTGGGGTGAGCAGAGTGCTGGTGGAGAGGGGATGGGAGAGAGAGTGGATGGGGGGGGAGAGAGGGGATGGGAGGGTGGCTGGTGGGGGGAGTTGGAGGGGGGGAGAGTTCGCTGGGGCTGGGCTGAGTAAGGGGGAGCACAACTTTTTTTTTCCATTGGCCAAAGTTGCGCGCACGAATGAATGGGCTCGGCCCATTCGTGTCGAGCAGAGTGGTTGTTATTATTCGTGGTGGTGATCATGGAAGTGTCTCGGGTTGTTTGGTGTTTGGTGGTTGTAGGGGGGAGGGGGCTCAGTCGCCGGTATGAGAGTGAGCAATGAGAAAAGAGGGCCATGGGTGGAGATTGACAACGTGTCTTTTTTTGTTGTTGCAATTTTGCGTCTGAGAAAGAACGACGACATGGGAGATTGAACGATGTAATACGGTTCGTGTATAGTCGTGGGTAGTGGTGGTTGATGCTACGTGGATGACTGAAATAAGTTCGGCAGTGTAAAGGGTGCTCACGCGGAGATTTACAGCGCATGAGAGGTGCCGGCCGCTGTGGCGGCTTGGGGGAGGAGGGAGGAGGCCTTCATCCAGCAGTGGATCGAACATGTCTGGTGATACGCTGAGATGATTTCATTTCGTATAATAGTTTTGCGCGTGAAAGAGTGTTACTCAAACAAAGTTCCTTCGGCGTGTGTGTGGCTCCGTGCACGCGACATTGTTTGGCAGCTCACTCTGCGCTGTTATAAATGGTTCTGAATGTGGTGAAGGGGATGGCGATGCATTTGTAAGAGCGTTGCGCAAGACCCCAGAATCCTGAGTTCAATTCCCGGCCACGGCTAACGTCAGTGTCGAGTCATATCGCACCGGTTCTGTAGCTCCCACCCGCTTCGCCACCCAGCGTTACTAACCCCCGCACTGACCAGCGTGCTGAAGTATGATGAAACAACCCCCACGGCCGACACGCCGTGGAGAAGTCTTCATCCAGCAGTGGAGCAATAATTATTGAGCTGTACTTGATCAGTTCCAATGCAATGCAATTGTAAAGCTTAATGGGGCGCATTTTTTTTTCCAGTACACCGTACTCTTCGGCTTGATACGAGATACCCATCTGAATAAAACAATTGAAGTCGTGCGTGAATTGTAACAATACCGATAAAAAGACACCGTCATCATCATCATTATAGAGTGCAACTCGTGCAGTACGGATCAAGGTGCACCAAAACGAATGGGTCTTTGAGACACTCACTCAACAATAGAATGGTTCCCAAAAAATACGGTACGGACAATATACACAACGAGCGAGAATACAACTCAATTGAAAATCTAACAACAAAAAAACTGAACTTGATCGAAAGTAGAGTCCCTTGCAAAGAATCCCATTCGGAACAGGAGTCAATTTAATCTCTGCTCAAATCTGCAATGACCTACGCAACGCTGGTTATAAGTTCGCTGATGCCAAAATATGTGCTTGCTTCGCGTTCCTAGGTAATAAAGCACACTTTCCATTTGCGTCCTTTATTAATGTGGCAATCAGAGGCCAACAACTACAATGGGAAATCATTAATATTCGTCAAGCTACTTGGCCGATTGTTAAAGAAACGTATGAGCAAAAAAATGCACTTATGTAAGCAAAGTAGTATGAAATCCAACACTCAAGGCACATTACTGTAGATCTAGATGTAAAAATAGAAATTATAAACGTACAGCCCTGACATGTATTGCCATTGCTGGCAGAAGGACTTCTAATAGAAGGAGCTGGAGAGAGCCCCTGCAGAGGGTTTTTGGCCTACTCTTCCATGCTGGTCAGAGAGACGGTCTTGGAAATTGGGGAGATTGGCAACCCAAAAAAATCGCTATAGTTATTTACTTCTTCTTTGGTATTTCGGTAAAGTCATGTAGAATGAGAATAAAATAATAAAATAACACAATAAAATTCTCACGACGTTTCGGCCTCAACACAACTGGCCAGAGTTTTGTCGTCCCGACAGGTTTGTTCCTTTCACCTGAAGAAGGCCACTTGTGTTGTGGCCGAAACGTCGTGAGAATTTAATTGTTATTTTATTATTTTATTCTCATTCTACGTGACTTTACCGAAAGAATCAAAGAAGATGAATCCTTGCAGTCACGAAAGCTTTAAATCGCAATAGTTATTTACTTATCTTGTTCCAAAATCCCTCTTTGTCATTAGCCTTGCACCGACGTGCAGCGGTCGTGACATCTCCAGGAGTCTCGTTTCGCAATCGACTCCGGGCACAATGAACGCACGCAGCCACGCAGGCCGCACGCAACAGGAGTTTTCAGCTTCAATGCATTTATTAGGTAGAGCCCTGTGAGCCGTGCGGCTCTTGAATCAGCTGCAACCGCAACAAACCAAAAACATGAGCAAGAAAACATCATGGAGTGACTACGCGCAACCCATGAAGCGTGCACGCGCGATCCAGGCGCAACGCTGACACGTCGGAAGGCGTCGACTCGTCCGTGCTGCCGTCGTTGTGCGATGAGCTGCGGTTTGATGTCGTGGGCGCATTGCAAGGGGAGAGCCACTCACCACTGCCCACCCCCACCTCAAGTGACCTGTGCGTGTGACGACTCTGTTAAGGCCTTCGCCATGCTAATGTACCGAGGAAAGACGGAGGCCAAGTGTAAACAGCAAGAGTCCCGTGACCGCACGAACGTTGTCGTTGGCGCGATATGGAAGAGCGACAAGCGAATCCGGGTGATGTGCGGGTGAGCGACTTCTTGGGTGAGGGACGATGCAGACGGGTCACTGCCATGTCCTGGCTGCCTGCACGCGAGCAGGGCCCTCTGTTAAAGGCACGGCACATGGTGTTTAAAAAAAAAAACCCCAGCAAGCCTCCTGCAGGACATTGCACTCACGCAACGGAAGAGCAATAACAATGCAGTGGCTTCGTGTTACAAAGTAAATCTGGCGTCGCCCCGTTCTCCCAACCCCCACCGCCACCTCCACCTGTCTCACATCCAAGGCATACGCCGTGGTGGGTTGAGGCCGCGCTGTGTACGCCGACAGTGGTGGAAATCTGTGTCGAGATGGGTTTAAGCTTACACTTGCACATACATGTGATGAAACGTCAACGTATAGCTACACACACACGGATGCATCTCCATCAACGTGACGAGCTTGGGTCTATCCACTGCTGAGTGAAGGATTCCCCCATGCAATCACCATCTCTCACGGTCCCGTGATGCCACAATCCATCTCACTCCTGCACGTGACCTGACAGTGCTTCATTCCTGTGGCGATCGTCCCCTCAGACAAAGTTCACTCCTTTGCCTGAACTTTCAGCGCCAGCCTTGTGTCCTTTGACCATCATCTCTTCACCAAGGGATGATAGCCGATAGGGCGGGTCCGGTTCCCAAGCCCACTCACCGTGCTTACATTGACGGGCAATGTTCAAGTCTCATTCGCATTTCTTCCCTGATCCACGTGCTGCTCCTCTTTCGGTTCTCTCGGTGTACATTTAATCGGGATTTTTGGTTGTTGTTGTTGTTGCTTTGGTTGAGCCAAACAAGACACGCTAAGTGGCGTGCTTTCACTCCAGCGCTGTCCTCCAGACAGTCTCGTCCCTTCACCTGATGAAGGCCGCTTGTGTTGTGGCCGAAACGTCGTGATTTTTGTTATTTTATTTTTTACCTACGTGACTTTACCCAATAGAACCAAAGAGTATGGCGTGCTAAACTTGGGTGTAAGTTGCCTGCGGAGACTCGCGGCGAGCTGTAACAGCCTGTGCAGAGAGCGCGACACAGCGTAACTTCACTCGCGGAGGAACTGTGAAGACGCCTCTCAGATCACGCATTCTCCTCTTCCTTTCCCGAGCTGACGACTCCCTGACCCCGATCAATGCCAGCCTCTCAAGCAAGACCTTCCTTCTTGCCTACGAACGACCTGCCTCTTTGTTGTCAACTGAATATGCTCACTTGTTTCTAGCACCGCATTTTTTTTTAGATGCGGTCACGCTTAGGTACTACGTGAATGCAAACTGTATTAAAGCGACCGTGATGATGCGTTTGAGAGGCTCGGCAGTGGGAAAACTTCCACGATGGTTTCGAGAAGGCATTGGTTGGCTTGGCATGATGTATCAATGCAGAAGGAGCCCCCTTTTAGAGGGGACCCACATTCTACATTCGTAGCTCAACTGTTGTGGATCTATACATTTAAGTTGTAAACTAAAACTTCGCGTGCATACATACGATACGCTGTGAATCCCATCAATAGCAAAGCACACGTCACATTTTCCCAGACGCATTGTACTAATTCAGGACACGCGGCTGTTGGCGGTAAGACTTAAAATATCACCTACTATTCAACAAACATAACTGGACAGCACCTTGATGTAGGTGGCGTTCGTCACATCGAGATTTCAGAGTCCCAGATGTTTGATGTTATCTCAGCTGTGATTTATTTGTAAGCTTCTACGATGTACTGTTGAAGATCACTCAAGCTTCACGTTTCTTTGGCAAACACTTAGAAAGTACAATGAATAAGTTGCCAACATTGTAATCGTGCAGTTCAAGCTGCAATTCAACCATGAGACTTTAATAATGGATGATATATTCATGGGCAAGGGATGGTGGAACAATAATGAGCACGCTGAGTTCTGAATCTGGCCACCTGAGTTATGGTCCTGGTCACGGCAAACAATCAGTGGCGAGTGACATCTGAAATAGTCTTGGGTAACCCCCCCCCCCCCCATCGATTTAAAGCTTTCGTGACTGCAAGGATTCATCTTCTTTAGTTCTTTCGGTAAAGTCACGTAGAATGAGAATAAAATAATAAATTAATAAAATAAAACTGTCTGGATGACAGCGCTGGAGCTCCAGCGCTGTCCTCCAGACAGTCTCGTCCCTTCACCTGATGAAGGCCACTTGTGCTGTGGCCGAAACGTCGTGAGAATTTTGTTGTGTTATTTTATTTTATTTTTATTTTATTCTCATTCTGCGTGACTTTACCGCAAGAACCAAAGAAGATGAACCCC